TTATATAGCGTCCTACGTCTAGATTAGTTTAATAATAAGTTATTAGTTTTATACTTTAGAGTCTTTTACTTCTTAAGTCTGTTACTTCTTAGCTACTATAATAGTCTTAGTAATTTATTATAAGTAATTCTTATTAAGTGTTTATAGCTAGTTATAGTTTCCTTAAGTAGCTAGTTACTACTCTAACTGTTCTATTAATTCTAATTTCTCTATATTAAGTGTATTAAGGTATTAGGTTTTTAGTTAGTTATATATCTTTATAAGTTTTATAATAATTTCCTAATTATAAGCGTCTATAGCTTATTTTTCTTTATTACTATATTAGTAAGTAATTACTATAGTTTGCTAGCTAATTTACTAGGCGTCTATAGGCTTAGTGGTTTATACTATAGTAATAGTACTTTCTTTAAGGGTATTATCTTATAGTCTTTTTTAGAGGTCCTTAGTTATTTATTAGGCTACTATAGTAGTGTCCCTAGGTTTTCTTAAGTACTATCCTGCTTATTCCTTACTATCCCTATAGGTAAGGTAGTTATTATTATAGCAGGCAGTCTATAAGAGTTATTTATAAGGAACCTTTTTTTAAGCTATATTAGCCTTTTATGTGTATTTAGGTAGGTTCTTATTCTATAGCCTCTTAGACTATCTATAGTCTTTTATAAAGTGTTTTATTTTTTATAGTTATAGTATTTAATAGTGCTAATATCTTATACTAGTTACTAGTCTTATTTTTATATAATACTAATATCTATAGGTCCTATATATTATCTATAAGTAGTACTTAGGTAGCTATTATATAGTTACTACTAGTTATTATATTTTTTAGTTTACTAGTGTAGTTATTTAGGTCCTTAAATAAATTTCTTACCTATATTTATATTTAGTTATTAATTCTCTCCTTATTCCTTATATTATTTAAAAAGTTATATATTAATCTTAATAGTAAGTTTAATATAGGTTAAGAAGTCCTTAAGTAGGCTAATAATCTTAATAAGTTTGTCCTTAATATTATCCTTAAGTCCTTAATAAAAAGTAAAGATTAATAATTCTTAAGTAATATTAAGTTAAGTAGCTAGTTATTAAAACTTAGCTATATAGTAAGAGGCTAACTTAGTTTATTATAGACTAGCTAGGTCTTATTTAGCTTATTATTTTTTATTAAGGTCTTAAAATAGTAACTATAAGGCTTCTATAAAGTCTATTATACCTCTAAAGATATTTTATATTTTAAAAGAGTAAATAGTAAGGTTACTATTATTCTTAAGGAACTCCTCTAAGTAGGGTTTATACTAAGTAAGTGCTTTTCTATAGAGAAAGGTCCCTATATAAATAACCTATTTAGTCTTATTTCTAAAATTAGTAATATAAAAAGTCTAATAGGTATATACTTAGATTAAAAATCCTTTTAGTTATCTACTAGTACTATTATAGGTGCTAGGGGAATTAAGCTTAAGTTTATTACGTCTTTCTATAGGGGTAGTAATAATATTAGCTACTCCTTATAGGGTTTAGTTATCTTCTTAAAGTTTAGTAACTTTTTTTTTCTTTTTAAGCTTAGTAAGGGTAGTAGTAACTATAAATTAAAGTTTATATACTTTATTACTTTTACCTTTAAGCTTGTTTTTAAGTTTATTTATTATAGTCTATATCTTAGCTATATTAGAATTATTTTTCTTAATTTAGCTTATAATAATACTATAGGTTTATTAGGTATAGCTTAGTTCTTTATTTAAGGCCTTAGTATCCTTTATCTTATTATTTAGGCTTTATATAAAGGTAGCTAAAGGCTTCTTTTTACTAAAGCTAGATAAGGTAGGGGTAGTTTATAGTGTAGATATCTTATTATTTCTACTATTAGGTAAGTATTAAGGTTAACTTACTTAATAAAAGTAATTAAAGTGTTATAGTTAGTTTCTAAATAGTAAGGTTTTTACTAATAGTAAGTAAAAGTTAATACTTAGTTAATAGTATTTATTATTCTTACTAGTTTATTAATTACTTAGTAATTAGTTAAGTAGTTAATATTATTAAGGTAGCTTATATAGCTTCTTATTAATTAAATTACTAAGGTTAGATACTAAAAGGTATTTAAAGAATATATTATAAGTTAATTACTAAAGAGCTATAGAAGTCTGTCCTTAAGTGCGTCTAAGTCTATCCTATATATAAGTCCTAATTCCTTTAGTATACCTAAAAGTAACGCCTATTTATTAGTCTTTTACTATAAAGCGCTATTAACTAGTTAGTCTTTTACCTAGAGCGCTTATTATCTGTTACTTCTTTCTTATTATTATATAACTTATACTATAGTTCTTTTATTCTAGGGAGTTATCTGTCTGTTCCTAGTTTTCTTATTTATATAAATACTGTTACTACCTATTGTCTGCCTGTTAGGTAGGGCAACATAGCCTATAGCTTGTTAGGTTATAATAATAGGTATATATACTAAAGCTATTTAGAAGGCTTATCTCTTAGTAAGCTAATAAGTAAAATATAGTAATAATATTAACTACTAAGGCTAAATTACTAGTACTATTATTTACTATAAAAAAGGTACTTTTTACTAGTAAATTAATTACTATACTAAGTATTTAACTATTAACTTAAATAAGAACTAAATTATTACTTAATAAGTAAGTAGCTATAAAATAACTACTAACTATTTATATTAACTATGATAATACCTAGACTATTAGGCTTATTACTAAGAAGCTTATTAAATTATAAATAAGGCTATAATATATAAGTATTTATAACTAGTAACTATACTAAAAAGTAGTAGTAAATTAAATTACTATTAAATATAAGAAGTCTACTAAATTAATAGCTAATAGATTAGTAAAAGCACTTAGTATATTATAACTTACTATATTTATAGCTTAAATAAATATAAGTAACTAATATATTTACCTTAAAGTAAATTAATAGTAAGAATTAGCTAATAATAAAGTAAAGCTTTACTATTAGATAGAGAAGAAAAATATATAAAATATTAAAGAATAATTAATAAATAAATAAGCTATAAATAGAGAATATTTAGTATAGGCTTTATAGTAATTAATTACGTTACTAGCGCTAAGAGAGTATATTAAGTATAGTAAAATTATATATAAATCAGCTAGTAAATATATAGCTACCTTATAGTAAATTATTAAGGAATAGGTAGTAAATTAGCCTTATCTCTAGGGGTAACTTTACTAATAATATTACTAGGATTAGCTAGGGATTTCCTAACTAAGAAATAGGGGTTTTTCTCTGTTCCTACAGGATTTCACTATAGTTACATAACACATAACAGAATCAATTAATCAACCCTTACAATCCCTACAATTTAACAGAAGTGTCTAGTCTAAACTCCGGCTAGGTGGGTGGGCTAGAAAAGAAGCCTCCTTGTCAGCCGCTCGGGCCCCATTCCTCGGCCCTCCCTAATGCCTCAGGCCCAAACAGCCATGGCTGATGGCTGCGGCAAGAATACCTAAGGTCTACTGTTAAAATTGCCATAGGTCGCCGTCACGTAGCTAACGACACAAGACTTACAACAGTAGGTATCACAACGGCCCGCATATCTAGTACAGGGTGGCAGGGGGAAGTTAATAACCCCTATAATGTTACCCCCTACAGCTGATATCATAATAGGGGGGGAATATTCACCAAAAGTGAAGTCCTGTAGTAGGGGGGTAAACGTTAGTTACCTGGCAGGGGTAACAAATTTCGGCCTGGTACCATCGTACGATGGTATCCGGCCGAAGTTTATGACCCCTGCCAGGTAACTCACTAATGCTCACCCCCTTACTAATTTAGGTACAGCCAACATTACTACGTACAATGGTACCAGGCCGAAGTTAAATACCCCGGTTAGGTAACTAACGTCCACCCCCCTCCTGCAGAGCTTCACTTTTGGTGAATATTCCCCCTCTATCATGATGTCGGTTATGGGGGGTAACATCATAGGGGTATTTTACTTACCCCTGTCACCCTGTATGATGGGTAAGTATAAACTCCCTAGCAGGTAGTGTGGAGTTGTGACCCACGTACGAGAGACTCTCACTAGCCAGAATTATGATAGATGTGCACAAGAAGCTCAAAGTACCGTCGCTAGGATAATCAAAAAAGCACGGCCACATTTACCTGACGAGGGGGTTAAACTTTGGCCCGATACCGTAGTACAGCACTATTCCCCTTATACTTGCTAGATCTTAACCTTATTGAGCCCTGTTGGAACTGGATAAAGAACTATATCTAGATCTATTACGGGCATATCTAAGGGTAGATACCTTGCTAGACGTTATATAGGTGGGTTAAAGAGGCCCGGGATGCTCTTCTAGATGACTATTGCGCCTAGCAGCCCTATAGTATGCATGATAGATGCCAGGCAGTGATTAATGCGAATGGAGGGCATACGAAATGGTGAATTTTGGCTAGATAGAAGGGGTTAGAAAATGTAGTGGTTTCTATGAATCATAGTGTGTGTGGGTCGTTACATCACAGGGGTAAAAGACTTAGCCCTGCCACCCTGTATGTTCCCTGGTTGACACTGTATTAGCCGTATGCTAGAGGCTGCCATTGTTGATTACTGCTAACGACGTCATTGGATCGAAGCATGTCTGTGCGGTAGACTGAAAAAGGATGGTTAAAGGTTTTGGGTATCCGGCCCATCCCAGCTGCACCTGGACAACAATCCCAAGCTTCGTACTCGTTTCCTGCTTTAAAGTTTTTAAACGACCGACGAAACTGTAAGACATTTGTCTAAACTTTCATACAAAATTACAATCTGCCAATCGCATGGTTTTGCAGTGGATTAATGTCGGATCCCAGACGCTAATTAATCCAAGTTGTAGCAAAAATGTTATCGTTCGCATCCAGCTTATTTAGGTGGTCTAGCGCCCACATCGACTATTGAGGGCTTGTTCAAAAACTAGACATTCGTGTGTATTAAGCACCGTTGTTTTCTCCCTTCCGTTTGCATATTTTCTCATACATTATATTCCACGGCTATCACAATGGCGATGACCAGTGCGGGCATGGAAATGCTTGCGGTAGGAGCCATCCTCTTGGTCCTCAACACCATTTCTGTCGGTGCCCGCATATACACTCGGACGTTCGTCACGAAAGCATTCCAGCTCAATGATGCGTTGCTTTTGGTTGCATTGGTTCGTAAATTTCACATAGGGGTTTCCCCCCCATCTTTTTCGCTCAATCTGACTAAATAATTACAGGGCGCATATGGAGCCCTTTACGCTCTTCTTGTTATAGGAGTTCAGGGCGGCATTGGTGGCCATGTTTTACAGGCCACTATTCCTGGACTCGCGATCTCGCTGAAGGTGATCTTTTTTCTAGAGATCATATACGTAGTTCTCACCTCCGCCATGAAAGGGAGTATCGCTCTTACGTTTATTCATCTTTCACGCTCAAGGGTTCTTACTCTCATCTTCTGGGTTTCCATTGCTATGGATGTGCTCATCAGCGCTGCTTTCATCATCTATTTGCTCGTTCAGTGTAAACCAATTGATTATGCATGGAGGATGCTGGATCCGGCAGCCAAGGGGGAGTGCCTACCTCTCCAAGGCCAGCTGTATATGGGATATGCACTGTGCATTGTAACGGCGATGTTGGATGCAATGTTGCTGATATCGCCCTGGATCATGATGAGAGGTCGAGGTCTGAACATGAGACTGAAACTATACATTTATGGTATATTCGGGCTGGGAATACTGTACGTTCATTCTTTGGTTTCCAATTTCTTATCTCTATTAACCAAAGCAGGGCAACTATTGCAAACATTATCCGTCTTGTGGCTCTCGTCAAACTTACAAGTTCCAACGATCAGCTCTGTATGTGGTGTCTTTCCCAATGGGTCGTTCAAAATCTAACCTGGAATTACAGACGACGCAGCCCCTGTTTTCACTTGGTCCGCCATCGAGGTCAGCATAGGCATAATCATTGCCGGACTCATTGAGCTCGGCCCTCTTGCCGCTAAGTATAGACTCAAGGGCTTCGAATCGTACGTCTATATTGATGAGACGTTCTCACGGAAGAAGCGGAACGACGAATCGGGAATTGAGGGGTACGAAATGCGTCCGGGAAAGATGTAGATGTGGCAAAACTGCAAGAGAGTAATATACAAGTGAAGTGACGGCAGAGGACGGTATATTAGGTTTCGCTACAGACTTACTTCATTGAGTATATCATATAAGCCGAAAATCCTGACTTAACCGTATAGTTAACTAAACGAGCGTTAGTACTACAAGTTGCCTTTTCTATATATGAGGTAACGAAAGTCGGATTATGTTTGCCTTGAGCATATTATCAAGCCTGAAATATTCATTTCCTAAGAACTTTAAAACGCTAGGAACATAAATCCACTTATAAATTGCAGGTTCAAGAAAGAGTTATATATATCCTTGAAGAAACATTTACTATTGATACTCTTTATTAGTAAAGTAACACTCTAAGTGAACATACTACTGATAGAAGCTCTGTAGGAATGATTTAAGACTATAAGCCGTGACGGGTTTTATATTTCTCGTCTTTGAGGCTCTAGTTGAAGGTAGGCATGATGAGGTATAGATGACTAGAGCTTCCTCGACCCTCTTGTTGCTGTTGCTACCTTACTCAACACGGCCAAAAATGTTCCTCCTAGCGAAACGAGAGCTAAGGAGCTGCTCCCGCTTACTATTAGCTTGTTGGGGTCTCTGGCGGTCACCACCTCCGCCACCAGCACCATTTAGCAAGGCAGTAAAACCCGCTACGCCCTTGCCCTTACCGCCAGCCTTGGCCCTTGGCCTGCCGGTGTTGGCATTGCCGGCATTATTGGTGTTTCCGTTGCCGTTGTTGTTGTTGTTGCTGTTGCCGGCGTTAATAGCAGCGGCAGCCGGGCCGGCAGCCTTTTGGGTTGAGTTGGCAAGAAGTTCCTTAACAGCGGTTAGACCCTGCTCGCCCTGTGTCGCAGCCTCTTGGTTGGATTTGACAGCAGCCGGAAAGTCAACTATATCCTTCTGTACCTGGGTGAGAACACCCTGAAGTGTGGCAGCGGTTGGAATGTTGCCCGGTGTGTTTTGCTTAGGCGTTATGTCGGTCTGCTGGACAGCGAAGCAGCCACCGAAGGGGCCTTTTGCGTTATTATTAAAGCAGCGGACAGTACAAACATTCCCAGTTGAAGCTATCAGTCTAGTAAGTTAAAATTTGGAATCAACAAAAATGTTATACTGTGTGACATACCTCCTACACAAGCCATATCAGTGGGCATCTTGACTTTGAGTGTGATTAGTCCGTTGTGTGGCTTAGATTCCAGAATCGTAAGATTAGTCTGGCCTGAAGCACCGTTTGAGTTGCTAGTTAAGTCGAGGTCGCAGGTGTAGGGCCCGGCTCCGTCGACGCTGACCTGGGCAATAATCACATCAACCGTGGCCCCAGCCGTGACCTGCGTGACGGTCTGATTTCCCAGGTGGTTCTCAGTCTCCTCTCCAATATCAATGTTTCCCTGGCGTATGGTTCTACCGCATTCGTTGACAACGTTGGAAACGATTTCTTTCCTATTAATGATATTTGCATCGGCCTGGTTCTGGTTGACTGTTTATTATGAGCATTACACCTTCTGATAGCCGTTTATCTCATGGCCGTACCTGACATCCCAGGGCTTGCAGGACCGGCAGGACCCTGTGCTTTGAGAATGACACCTTGGGCTTGGGCCATCGTCAGCAGTACGGCGACTAACAAAGCGCTTATTTGAGTAGACATGATTGCTGTATGGTTGAAGGGAGGGAACAAAGGAATACTAGAAGGGAAAGGGGAATTTCAAATAGAAAATCCTATAATTTAGGTCAAATAATGTGTCCAGCACTGTGAATAGAAAATAAGCATGAGAGTAATCTGGCCCGTCGAGGGAGAAATAACTGGCTGGAGGGGGCAATTCAAACAAAACTTGGAGTTCAAATCAAAGTTTTAGTAAGAACTTAGACAGAAAGAGCACAGGGAGGCCTGAGGTCTACTCCAAGATCAAACATTTTAAGGTTATACACGAGTACGCGTTTTTTATGTCTTTCCTCTTCTGCCCTAGACTTTTCTCACAGTAATAGAGGATATTCCTCCCAGAGTATCAAGCCGTGCGTAGAAGGATAAACAGCAGGGTTTTTAGAAACGTGCGTTCAAACGTTTTCGATGCTAGGCAGCAGGTGGGAGAATACAGCGGCCCGCTGGGTCAAACAACAATAAGCTTCAGGAACCATAAACTCTGTTCCTTTACCCAAAATTGTATGTGTGCGTCTGAGGCTATGCCTGCTCCTTCCCAGGTTGCAAGATTGGGTTGAGGGGGCCTCAATGACGCCTGTTACCTGCGGGCTCCAGGCATGCTTCGGACCACGGTGTTCCCCAATTAAGAGCATATCGTCTCTGTAGTTCTGTTGATTATTCGGACCGGATATCATCGTGAGGCAAAGTAATTTGTGGGGATGGAGAGGTATGACCAGAACGGTCGGGTCGATATAGGTGATTGTATTGACTACAATGCCGAATTACCTCCATGGGGAATTCCCGTTCGCTTCGAATGCCCTCTACTGGGTAGGTACAAGATCATCGAGATATGGTCGCAAAGATGTTGGGCGTAGGGAAACCACTCTGTCCTGCTGCTGGGATGTGTCAATGCTGCCATAGGTCGCAGAGTCCAGACGAAGACGGGGCTGCAACGGCGTTTCAAGCCCTCTTACGACGGGGCAACATGGAATATCTCACCTTGGCATACGCAAGATGGCAGGCATGACATAACTAATCAGTACAGCCCTGCATTTCGTCAGCGCCTTTTTCACTTTATCCGGCAGTCTTCCGGCCACCAAACCTTCGCTGGCAGGGCTCGGCTACATGTACCGAGAAATTCAGACGGTCCGAAGTCTGAGACCAATCCGTTACGCTTAGTGGGGCTAGTGACATATTTGTTTGTATGGATGCGTGGCGGCTCTTTGTAGTCAGATGCACAGACTAGTGTGGTAATTTCTCCAACAATTAACCAAAGACAGCTATATGCTCTGCAAAGAGAGTTATATACTCGTTTCTTACCATACGAGAATGGCAAGCACTTTAGGTCATCTTGAACGTCCAGAATCACAAGCAGGCTAGAGAACCCGAGGCCCACAGTTACAGGTCAGCAGTTGACGGAAAATACAATGAGGTTAGATCTCACGATATGAAATTTCACAATAGCATTTAGTCAAGCTGCAAATATTACAAATATGGAGCCTTTAATCCAGGCAGCTGTGACATCAATTGGGCACAGCAGGTAACGTGACGAATAGCGAAGGGAGATCTGATGAGAGAATATGCGACATTGTGATAGAGTTCGACCACAAGTTCGTATTACTCAAATACCAGATATAACCAGTTTCAACATAACTATGTACCATGGTTAATGTACTGCATACTGTGACTATCTGGAGGGTTGAACTATGTTAGCCTCCTGTGACTTCTTTAGTAAGCCCCAGTAGGTGCAGTAGAGCCAGAATCACTTCCGCGAGTGCTGGTGACACGGACATAGGTCTTGAAGCCCGAAGGTGTGTTTCCGCCACCGATATTTGGGAAGGCTTTGGCTCCGCCACCAGCAACCGGAAGCACAGTGGGAAGTGAGATACCCTCACTACTACCACCAAGAATTCCAGTAGGTAGAACGTTGTCGAGAGCACTGCCACTGCCACCAAGACCACCAAGGCCACCACTGCCACTATAGGCCTCAGTGGGGTTGGCGCTGCCCTTGTTGTTGCCTCCAAGAAGCTCAGTGGGAAGAGCGTTGTCGAAAGCACCACTAATGCCACCCTTTCCACCAAGACCACCACTGCCACTATAGGCCTCAGTGGGGTTGGCGCTGCCCTTGTTGTTGCCTCCAAGAAGCTCAGTGGGAAGAGCGTTGTCGAAAGCACCACTAATGCCACCCTTTCCACCAAGACCACCACTGCCACTATAGGCCTCAGTGGGGTTGGCGCTGCCCTTGTTGTTGCCTCCAAGAAGCTCAGTGGGAAGAGCGTTGTCAAAAGCACCACTAATGCCACCCTTTCCACCAAGACCACCACTGCCACTATAGGCCTCAGTGGGGTTAGCGCTGCCCTTGTTGTTGCCTCCAAGAAGCTCAGTGGGAAGAGCGTTGTCGAAAGCACCACTAATGCCACTCTTTCCACCCTTGCCACCAAGGAGTGCAGTAGTGGGCGATATACCCTTGTTGTTGCTACCAAAAAGCCCAGCTGAAAGAACATCGCCAGAACCACCGCCTGCTAGATTTTCCGGGATCAGACCAATGCCACCGCCATTGCTGCCGTCGCCAAAAGGACTGCCTGCAGTGGTTTTTCCAGGGCTATCGTAAGATCCTGGGCGAGCGAAAGCACCAGCTGAGAAGGCGGTGAGGGCGGTAGCGAAGATGGAACCCTTCATCTTGATATTCTTAGAATGTATCGATGTTGTTGATCAGCTTTATTTTCCAAAAAGAAAATAGGAAAAGGTTGAGAATAAATTTGGTCGAATGAGAGGACTGGTTTAAAAATGAACGGAGAAGATTTGCTCCTGAGTTAGTTGTAAATAAAGAATGAGGTGATGTGCGATGGGGACAGAATGTGAGTACAGCAATTGCGATCAAGGGCCCTTTTATGCTGTTGAAGTCTGGAAGCACAGAGCGCGTAGTATAGCTGAAACCTGTCTGACTACGCTGCCGTGGTGGCGTCAACTGCTTGAGCAACTTGACGAGAACGAAATGATAGCTTATTCGTCATGTCACAAGATGCTAAACGAGGCTGTCCGCTTAAACTGGAGTAGTGACCCATTTTGCTTAGCTCAGTCCCCAAACCCCGAGTCTGGACCTTAATAATTGTTATTAATTGTTGTTATTAGATGAGATGTGGCTCGAGAGGAGGCTTGAGAGCATAGATTATGTGACTTGACTGCATCTGATGAAGAGAAATGAGTGGTGAGGTGGATGAGTGTTTTATCAGTGTGGTTAACCTCCAAATCTCAACGAAGCGGGGCAGTAGCGCGTATTAATCGTAAGCTAGCAGGTGCGCCATCTAATCCAGATGTGACGTTAAACGATACATGTGACATGTCATCTCGGAACCGCGGATGGACTGCTCTCAAGATCCTAGCTTGGCAACTAAACATTCCCTAATTTCTAATTTCTGTCCTTCATTTCTAATTTCCTCTAGAAACAAGTTATTGTAAACGGATCTGTGACGGTTTCGTTAGTTGGTGGGCTTTCGACTAAATTACTTCCTAATTTGCGAATTAAACTACTGTATCAGCATTCGGCCGCTCATTTTTCACCCTTACGCTCTAGTGCAAACAAAGCTCAGATCGGTCCGATGGAATTTGTTCTTCGTGTCTCCTCGGAACCTATGGGGCTTTGGGCCATTTTGACACAAGAAACATGAATAGGAGAACCAGTGAGTCTGCAGCTTTAATGGCATACAACATTCCTAATTATTCCAGATCTCGGGAGCATTGAACGTAATAGTAGCGTTCTCCAGCTTGGTGCCAGGATGGAAACGTAGGAGACCCGGCCAAAAATCAGGGAAATTCTCATCGCCCACTGCGTTCGTCTCGAGATTTTCTTCAACATCATCACCCTCCTGATTCAAATCAAAAATTCCCAACGATGCACTGTCGGTGACTTGCTCAGGCACAGTGACAGCCCAATGATTCGTTCCGGCAAGCTCATTTAAGCTGGTATTGGCATACGGAAGAGTCGGCTGTGCCAGAGTCGCGTTGACGCCCAAGATTTTGTACAGATCTGTGCTGAATGGTAGAACGCCTGGCAGTCAAGGCTTGAATTTAGCCCGGAACCAAGGCTTCCCCGCAGGTTCGGACTCTCTTGGATCTCCCGTCGTATCATGAGGGTAAATCTTAACAGCTGTTTCACCGTATTCATCCTCAGTCCAGTCAAACCAGGCTAGATATTTAGGAATATTCTAGTCTTTTAATTAAGTTAACAGTCATTACTGCCTTTCTATATACAGGAATATAATTAATTAAAAGGTGTTAAATATAGCAAAAGTACATGTGAATTTACTAGTAAATATATAGTTACCTTATAGCAAATTACTAGGGAATAGGTAGTAAAATTACGTTACTTTAATAGTGATTTTACTAATAATATTACTAGGATTAGCCTAGAGTTTCCTAACTAAGAAATAGAGAGATTTCCTTATTTCTATAGAATTTTACTATAAATAGATATATATAATATAATTAATTAACTATTATAATTGTTATAATTTAATAATTAATATACCTATATAGTAAGTTATAGATTATAGTTAGTTATAGATTATAGTTAGTTATATATATTTACTACTTTTCTACCTCTTTAACCTTTATACTTACTTTTCTTTATATATAAATATAAACTCTTCTTCTAAAGAAAGCTAAATTATCTTTACTCATTAAGCTATCTAGAAAGACCTAAAAATACCTATATAAAAAGTAGCTTATACCTTTAAGATTCTTAAATTAACTCTTTATAACTAACATACTAGATATATTATATAAGCTAAGATATATTTAAAATTAAAAACGATAATAAAAGTAAAAGAAGAAGTAATTCTAGAGAAGGTTATTAACTTAATTAATTAAAGGTTTTCTTTATAATAAGATAATATATAAAATATAGCTAACTAATAACCTTTAATTATAAAAAAAGACCTTATATAAAGTAGTCTAGTAATTAAGTATAGGTTTTTATTATTTAAGATATATATATAAATAGCTAGGTAATATCTTTATATAGTATTATAAAAAATAAATATTACTTTCTTTTTTAATACTAAAATAGCTAATTTTTAGCTAAATAGTATATTTACTTAAGTAAAAATAAATAAATAATAAATAAGATTAGCCTAAATTAGTTAAATTATCTTAATTAGTATAAAAAGTCTTATATAAAAAGTACTTATTAACTTTTAGTCTTTAATAGCTATAATAACTATAAATTAACTAAATTTAATAATCTTTATAAGAAATAAAAGATTATTACTTTATATATACTTCTTTATTTATTATATAAGCTTTAGCTTTTTAATATAAGTTATTTTAGCTTATTAAAGCTTTTATATAGTAAGAGAATTAAGAAAGTAATATAAATATAGATTTTATATATTATAAAAATAACTTCTTTTTTACTTTAAAAGTAATATTTTTTATTTTTATAAGAAAAAGAATATATTAGCTAGCTTTAAATAGGCTAGTCTTATACCTTTTTACTTTAAAGTAGTTATTTTTTACTTAGATTTTAAGCTAAATATACTAATACTTACTATCTTATATCTAACTAGCTTAGGCTTATAAGACTTAAAGATACTAACTATAGTACTAAATATTAAATTATAAGGATTATAATAGTTAATTAATTAATTTTATTATATGTTTTATAATTATAGTAAAATCTTATAAAAATAAGGAAAAACCCTTATTTCTTAGTTAGGAAATCCTTAGCTAATCCTAGTAATATTAGTAGTAAAGCTACCCCTAAAAGTAGGGCTAATTTAATACTTATTCCCTAATAATTTACTATAAAGTAACTATATATTTATTAGCTAATTTATATATAACTCTACTATATTAAATATACTCTCTTAACGCTAGTAATATAATTAATTACTACAGCGTCTATACTAAATATCCTCTATTTATAGCTTATTTATTTATTAATTATTCTTTAATATTTTATATATTTTTCTTCTCTATCTAATAGTAAAGCTTTACTTTATTATTACTTAATTCATACTATAAATTTACTTTAAGGTATATATATTAGTTACTAATATTTAATTAAGCTATAAATATAGTAAGTTATAATATACTAAGTGTCTTTACTACTCTATTAGCTATTAATTTAATAGACTTCTTATATTTAATAGTAATATAATTTACTAGTAAAAAGTACCTCTTTTATAGTAAATACTAGTACTAGTAATTTAGTCTTAGTAGTTAATATTATTACTATATTTTATTTATTAGCTTACTGAGAGATAAGCCTTCTAAATAGCTTTAGTATATATACTTATAAGCTATAATAGTCTAGTAAGTTATTAGTAAATAAGATATCTAAAGTAACCTTTAATATATTATCTTTACTACTTAGTATTACTTTATATTTAAGGTAAAGGTACTATATTTAAGAAAGATATCTAAGTATATAATCTATAGCCTTTTAGTAATCTAGATTTAGATTATAGTTAAAGTAAGTAAGCTAGCTAGCTATAAAAGTAATATCTAGCTAAGTTATTACTACTATATAAAGAATTATCTTTATTTTCTTTTAATATTAGTTAGCTTTTTATAATAAAGTTATATATTTAGTAGGTAGTAACTTAGCTTTAACTATAAGTAATAATTTATTATATTTTCTATTTAGTAGTAATAGTTTAGTTACTTTATTATAATATACTACTTATAAAAGCTAAAAATAATAGTTACTTTAGTTATAAATTACCTTAAGGCTAAGAAACTACTATAATAGGCCTTTACTTTTAGTATAGTATTATTACTAAAGAGCTACTATCTTATTACTTACTTATACTTTATTTATATAGTAATAAGCTAATATATAGTTATTAATATAAAAGAAAAATATAATATAATCCTTTCTTTAATAGTAATTCTTACTAAGTACTTAGTAAAAGACTTATATAGTAAGCCTTTCTTTAAGGTACTTTTACTATAGTAAAGAAGATTATTAAAGCTTATAAAGCGCTTTTAATAGCTAGAAGATCTAGCTAGTAATTTAGTAGCCTAGAGGTATCCTTATAAATACTACCTTATTAATAGTAGTATAAATAAATATATTACGTATATTATATTAAAGTAGTTCTAGATTAAAGTAAGTAGCTATTATTATAAGTATTTTAAATAATATACCTACTAATATAGCTATTTAAGTATCTTCTAAATCCTTTACTTATTAGTTACTAAAAGTAATAAGTCTTACTTTAAATTTAGTTAATTAACTATATTTATTAAGCTTATAAGTATATACTTAGTAGTAACTAAGGATTTAATATTCTTTAGTTACTACTAATAATATACTTATATAGTAAGTAAAATAGTATAGTAAGTAAAATACTTTCTCTAACTTTTTTATCTTTTTTATAAGTTTATTAAGTAATAATATATAAAATTAGTTAAAACTATATGTTACTTTCTTTTTCATTACTATTTTAAACTATCTTATAGGTTTATATATTATATTTAGTCTTTTTATAATTACTATATTATTATATATAGAGTTTACTACTTTTCTTATAAGCTATTATTTAAGATATTCTTTTACTTTTAGCTTTAATACTTCTTTTATAATACCTTTACTCTAGTTATATTAAGTAACCTTTTAAGATATAGTTAAGTCTTTTTAGCTTTTTAGTACTTACTTAATATATTTATTATTA